TGAGTCTGAATCATAGACAGTACAACATTTAATGCAAATCTAAGCTTTATTGAATTAGTAGGCATTATATAGAGATTGCAAGTCATTATTGGTCCAGCACAGATACAAGTGTTTGTTCCAAGGATAAATGAGAGCACAAATTGACAGTTTTACTGCTGCTTGAACTATTTCTTTAAGGTGGCTTGCTATGGACACAATCTCCCTCAATACCCATTCAACACAGTCTTGGCTTTCACCTCTCCCTTCAGCAGAGGGATTCACAATATCTAAAGGAAGCTTTTAAAGAACTCTTCTGTATCAGAGGTAGTTTTGTGCCTGCATTATGCATCAGAGAAGACATCTGAACAAAGACTCCATAAAAAGGGCAGAAGAGATACACTAGAGCAGAGTTGAGATCCATGATTTTTTTTTCAACTAATTGGCTACAGTGGCAAAAGTATCAACCAAAATTTAGAATAGCCTTTTGTCTATTTAATAACAAAGCATGCAGTAGCCTGTGCAGACAGTAGCTTTTTAATAACAACCTTAAATCTGTCTTGAGCACCAAGGATGCATTTTCAAAAGTATAAACTATATTTATATGCAGTGACTACTGTAGTGGTTGAATTATGCCCCCCCCTCCACAAAAAGACATGTTTATTCATGTGCTAATCACCAGAATTTGAGATATTACCATATTTGGTTAAGCAGGTATTGGGAGGTGTAACTAAATTTAGGCTCTGAAAAATGAGGATGTAATCATAGATAATTTGGACGGGTCAACAAAACTATCCTTACAAGAGAGAGGGAGAGGTAGATTATACAGAGGGGATGGTGTTGAAAAGGCAGATGAAGCCACAACCCAAGGACTAATGAAAATCACACGAAAAGAGGCAAAGAATGGATTTTCTACCCGAGCCCGCAGAGGAGTGCTGTCCTGTTAATATCTTGGCTTTGTATTTGTGACCTTAAAAAATCACAGAACCAGACATCTACTCTTGTTTCCCACTGTGTTGTGGGAATCTGTTACAGTAACCATAGGACCCTAACAGAAATTTTAGTATGAGGAAGGGTATTGCTATGACAGATATCTACAGATGGGAAAGGGGCTTTGGAATGGGCTACTGGGTGGAAGGTGGAACAATTTTAGATGACGAACTTAATAGAGAAACTATAGATTGCCTGAGCCAAACCACTGTTGGGAATGTCGATGTTAAAGGCATTTCTGGTGAGGGCACAAAAGGAAATGAATATTGTAATGGGACCTGGAAGAAAGGCAATTGTTACATAGCAGCAAAAAAGAAAACAAACTAAACAACAACTTATCTGAATTGTCTCCTGTAGTTTTGTGGAAAGCCAGACTTGATACTGTAAGTGATAAAGTCGGGTATTTAACTGAGGAGCTTGGCAAGCCAAGTGTTTGAGGCATGAGCTAATTCATTCTTGCTGGAGGTGGGCCAGCAGACTTAAGGGAGTGGGGAGGAGAAAGGAGGATAATAAATGAGATATGAAGGTGAAATGGGAGTTACTTACTGATGGGACCGTAACAGGGGGTAGTGGTGGAAGTGAGGGCAGGAGGATGGAGGTGGGGAGAATAATCAAAAGAAAAACAAAATGTTAATGAAAATGTGACAGTGAAACTCATTACTTTTTTACTAATTTAAAAAAGTTAAATAGGAGGAAATGAAAATGTTAAGGAAAAAAAAAAAAGAGGAGGTAAATTGAAGAAAGAACCATTATGTCAATAAGGAAACAGCATTTAATTTGGTAAATTTTGTTAATCTTAAAGATGGTAAAATTCTGCGTCAAGATGTGCTTTGGAGTTAAGGTGAAGGATGTGGCCTACCAGTTTTTAAAGAATAGCAAGCACTGAATAGATCAGGTACACATTCCTGGATTCATGCAACTATCTCAAAGAAAACCACACCTAGAGCTGAAACTATTTATGAAAAAACTGTGAGGATGCCAGGCAGTGGTGGTACACACCTTTTCCCCAGAACATGGGAGGCAGAGGCAGGTGGATCTGTGTGAGTTCGAGGCCAGCCTGGTCTACAAGAGCTAGTTGTAGGTCGTGCTCCAGAGCTACAGAGAAACCCTGTCTCGAAAAATCAAAACCAAAAACCAAAAAATTGTGAGGTTGGATTGACATGGCATACTTGGAACTCACATGTGATTTTTGAGAATGCAATAATTATCAGAATACTTTTGGCTTGGTTTGAAACATGCAGATAGGAGGGAATGAGAGAAGGCTGCCAGATAGATCGCTATGGTCAGAAAACAAGCTCATAAAATTACTCATCTGCAAAATGTGATAACTTTCAGATTAGTAAAAGAAGCACCTCAAAGGCAAAAACAACTGTGGGTACAAAGACAGAGACCTGAGGCCTGGAGCAGAGAAAAGAGCTACAGTTCCAAAGGGTGATATCTGAGACAGAAAGCCATTGCCATGCCTTGACACCTATGGGCAACATGTTTGGCTGGATGCTTGGAAAACTGTTGGGGCAGATGACTCCTTTCTACTTTCTGTTCTTTCCCTTTTGGAGCAAGAGTTCCTTTGTTATTAGTCCACGCCTGCCTTAGTGCTATTTTAGGAGAGAATAATTCATTTTTATTTGTTCTCTCATTGTGTACCAGGTAGAGAAAGGCTATTGCTCCAGGAATGGGAATACCTAAATATCATTCATACTTCATTGGACGATCTAGATTATTGGATTTGGAACTAATGGCATTTGGATGAAATTTTGGAGTTAGAAGTTACTTTTGAGCCTGGAGAACATTGGGAAGAGGTGAATGCATTTTACATATGGGACAAACATACATTCTGGGGGTCAGTTGGCAGATAGGTGGGAAGAAGAGTCATGCAGATATCATGAAGTTCAGGATCAGTGGTGAGATCATCCTGTTTTAACATGGTGGTCTCTAAATGCCACCATCAGCATCCTTACAAGAGAGGCAGAGAGAGATCAGGTACACAGAGAGGAAGGTAATGTGAAGAGGAACAGAAAAATGTGGCCATCCAAAGATGAACAAGGCAAAGAAGGGGCCTCTGCTGTAGCCTCTGGAGGGAGCATGAATGGTCTAATGCCCAGATGTCAAGCCTCTAGCCTCCAGGACCTTGGGAGAATACATTGCTGTGATCTTAAACCATCAGATTTACTGTCAAGCATTACAGTAGCCAAAGGAAAATATACTAATCAGTTAACTTGTTAAGTAACATTCCAGAGAAAAAGTTGTAGAAATGGCATTTCTCATCTGTGGCAGAAATAAACAAAAATAAAAATTTCAGCCTAATTTGGTTTTATTTTAAAAATTGTACTACATATTTTTTTGTGGATGATACTCTTCAACCTAAAATAAAAAGTGCAAGTGGCTGGAGCAGGACTACTGTAAGTCCTATAAGTTAATTCTGTGTCCCCTGAAACGTTTTCTAATGTTTGAGAAAAGCATGTGGAATGCATTTAAATACAAATATATAATTTATCAATAACAGTACTTCATTCATTCCTGTTTACAAACTAGAAAATAAGGCAAGTTCACATCTAGAAAAGGTGATATGCATCAGTATGTTAACCTTGACCAGTTAGGTAATATGGCAGGGCTAATGCCCCAAATTTCAGTCAATGTTTACATTTCAAGATCAATTTTCTACAGCCTGAAAAGCTATAAAAAATAAAACACAAAACCTCAAATAAGCCATACCACAATATTTCAGAAAATACTTTGTAAAGTCAAAAATGCATACAGTAGTTATTTACATCAATTAGTAGAACTTCAATTTTGCAGTTATTGTTTTAAAAAGTATGTGAAAGTGGTATGTTTTTAAGTGTGTGTGTGTGTGTGTGATTTTTCACTTAAGAAAAAAATGAAAAAAAAAAAAACCCTCAGACATTGTCACCTTCTGATTTCTCTATTATAGCAGCTTCAGAGTATTTTGAATTATAATACCCAAGTAAGAATGCACTAGGATGAAAGGCAACAGTTTAAATTAATATACATCAGTATAAAGATGCTGTGAGCTACTGGTCACTTGTTTACATTATCTCAGAAGGTGGCTTGCTAAGCCAGTCATTTGTTCTTTTCTCTGAATGTCTATAATGTGCTTTGGAGAAATCGAATTTTCTACATAAGAAATATACATACAAGCAATCTTTTACAGCAATCACAATCATCTGCATGAATTAGTCTTGAAATTACACTCCAGAGAAGTTACACCAATTATTACAAATGCACATTGTAAGCGAATAGATAAGTATAACTTCTCTCTCACATGTTTAAAACAATGCCGAGCTTCTTTATCTGCTAGTGTTGTTTTGGCAGCATCACTGAAATGTGTTAGTAATATACGGTAAGTAAGTATGGTGATGACAGAGAGGTTTACCTTGTTACAAGGATATGGAATTACTGCAGTAAGAGATATAAGCACGCACACATGCATGCACGCACACACATGTGCACACACACCCACACACATGCACAGATACTTGCTTTTACTTCAACTACCAAAGTAGAACAGGTAAAGGGGTGGAAAGGGACATAAAACAATTGACCTTTACAAAGTTTTCTACTGCCTCCTGCATAATGAAATCGCTTTCCTCCCTCTGGACTCTTCTGCAGTTCTATTCCCTAACTCTCAGGGATGAAGTGAGAAAGAAGCTCTAGAGTGAAGAACCAGGAATCAATATTTTCCTCTCAAATCTAAATAAAGGCAATAGAATTTTCAGGCTCATCCCTAGCATATGCATGAAGTGTAGAGGTTTTCTCAAAAATAGCTTTCCGAAGAATTTCTATAAGGCAGATATCTATGCAGAAATAGAAAACACTTCTTAAATAAAGTTGAAATCTAGCTGATTTTGTATTTTTAGTAATGATAAGTGCCTGTGATATCATGCTGAAACACTAGACTAATGGTAAGATTAATTTCTACCAAATAGATAAATCCATCAACCTTCACTTGAAATGGGTTCTAAATATCTTGACTGGGGCTTTTTTTTCAGAGTGTGCTATTTGCACCCATTCTCCCAGACTTTACATTATATACAAACACACGAAGAGCTAGAAGTAGACACTGAAAAATCTTCCTGTCTATTCCCCTTTCCTCCTCTTTTATTTTTTTTGGACAGTGGGGTAGGGTTGGTAGGTGTGACCTAGAAATTTCAGTTTTACATTCTTTGACAGAATCTAATGGAATGTTTGTAGGAGCCTTAGGATTCTTCTATTTTCCTTTTATACTTTTGCCTCCACAGTCAGGTAATGTCTCCAAATGTCAAGTAATGTGGGTCTTTCCACTACAGAGGAACAACTGGTTTCTAATCAGGACAGCTGGGTTCGGATTAGTGGACTTGCAGTACTCTTACAAATACATATTACTTCACCCAGCTCAGCTTGACCTTTGTGGAAATGCATTTATTTCCACTCAGACCCTTGAGTGTATATTTTGTTCTTCTCAAGATGAATGATTTTGTTTTCTTAAATGTCTCCATTCTTTCTGGCATCAGGAATCACTTGGATGACATGGCTCCATTGTGGCGAGAGCGTGATCTTTCCAGAGGGGCCCGTCTGTTATCTGTAGGACAAAGAAAAGAAGGGAACACACGGTGAGCTTTAGATTCTGACTATTGCACAGTGTCAGGTTGAGAGAGGTTTTCAAACAGCCTTGAGAAATCACTTCAAATGAATATGGAAATAAGCTGCAAAGAGCCCGGATCTGAGGCATTTGCACTGCAGCTGCCAGGCTGAGTTCAAGAGTTCTGCAATCAGCAAGAAATGATTTTTCTTGGTAAGCAGAGGCAGAGTGATAAAAGCAATGGAAGAATTCTCTCAAGCACAGACCTCTTGGAAATAAGCAGGTGACAACAAAATTCCCTGGTAAAGATGTTAAATTGAAAAGATCTATGTACATTGCCTTTTGTTAAAAACCTCTTCAGTTTCCCACGAGTTTTCAATTTGTATGCTGGCTACCTCTAAAGTACATCAGTGTATGCAGAGTGTGTGTGGGGGGGGGCGATTTTCTTTTAAAACAATGATTGCAATATATGGTAATCAAAGTAGCTACTGAGTTTGCCTGATTGTATGATGTAAAGAAATTCAATACATTATATAGTCATTATGGAAATGAATAATGAATGGGACCTATTCTTGGTCTCATTCCCCTACCCATCACAGGAAGAATAATCACTGTAGAGATGACTGTTGGCACAAAACTTGGAAAGCAAAGTTTAAAAGCACTGAAAGTTGCTGAAAATAGTTTTAGCTTTAATAGGGAAAAGGTTTACAGCTCTGCATTGTGATGATCACTACTACATTATTATCACCTCTGTTTTATGCTCAGCTTAAACGCAATTGATGTGGGTGAAAATCTCTTCCTGGCAAGAGCATAATATACTTAGATTTTCTATTTAGAATGAGACTCAGTCCCTAGAAATAATGACAACCACCAGCACTTACATAAATGCTAACACTTTACACTAGTTAATTTGCTAATTCACACAACATCCCCGGGAGGTAAGCCCATTTCATTCTATCCTATTATCTCTGCTTTAGTGATGAAGGTTACACAGCAAATCAATGGTATGATCGGAGATTATAATGCAAAGTTAATGTCTAAATGTCAGGCCTGCTTTGTTCAGAAATAGACGTTGGATCCTCCCAAGCTGCTCTTCATTTCCTCACTAAGATGATGATGGCCCACTAGCATATCCTGTCTCTCCATGAGGAGGCTGGCCCGAGAAGTGCTGAAGTTTTGTCATGATGCCTTTCTGGGTTGTACTATCATCTCTTGACTAATTCCCGGTAGTCTGTGGTCAATACGCAGCAAAACTTTCTTGCACCCATAACCTTGGCCTTATTAATACCACCTTGTGAGTACACTGAACAAACTAGTCAGAAGCTTAAAGCGTACTCAATGTTTCAGAATGCAATCATATTGCAGAAAGGTGAAGAAGCAAAAGACTTTCTACTTGCAGATACATCTGAGTGATGGATTATTTGGGGAATCCTTTTGAAGATACCATTAAAAGGTCCATTATTTAATTTGTGATATGGATCACAATTCAGCAAAAATGTGAAGATAACACTCCTGGATAAAGGGCTTGTTACTTAGATGGCACAGGTTTGCATACAGATTAGTTTGGGACTTCTTAGAAGACATTTAAAACTTAAGCTACAACCAGATGATTCCCATTTCATTGCAAACACTAAAACTTCAGTTTTGTTCTTAGATACAAGAATGATGGCAGAATTTCCACGGGGTCCTGCCAGCTCTCTGAAAGAAGTTGGTACATTGCGGATCCTACAAACTGAAGTCAACAAGTATCTGTGCTTCCCTCCAGGAACACCTCTGACATCCTGCAAGATAACCATTACCTAGTGGATCACCACCAAAACTCCAGCATCACAGTATTAAATGATAGGATGCGAGGATTCATATCAACTTGCAATTTGCTGGTGGCATTTGGTGTGAGAAAACGCTTTTGAGCCAAAGCAAACTGTCTAAAGGACGTTAAAGCTTTTGGAAAGTGGCATGAGCACTGGTTCAGGATCCAAACTTGGCCTTATAACAGATAGAAAAGAGAACTATTTTAGATTTTCTTTTTCTGTCCTTTTGATCTCTTCCGTTTAGGAGCCTAAGAGGTTCCTAACATAATAAGATAATTACATGAAGAAGCAATTCTGTAAAGGTCACAACTTATATTTTTGAAATGTCAACCTACAATCTTGTTTATGAGGAAAAAGCCATTAAAAACAATGGCAACATTGCTGATCTAAACTTTTAAAAATTAATTTCCAGTTCTTTATATTTATGTTAAAACTAATTTTTCATAAAACATATATTTGTATCATAAAGTTCTACAGATCAAGCCATAAGTGGAATAAATGGATCTCATAAAGTAAACATATACATGCACACACACACACACTTTCTTTCACAGGCACACACACTTCTGTATTTCCATATGTATACATAGATTTTCTATCTGTCTTCACATTATAATGGCTAATAATTTAGTGATAACAAATTTTCATGCTCAAGACTGACTTCATCTTGGAATAAGAGATTAAAATACCACTGAGTGGATTATTTGAAACATAACTTCTATATTTATGGTATTCAATACTAATGGACCTTTGAAGTCAGCATCACATGTATAGAAAAAGGACTCTTCAGTATAAGCTGCCACCACAGTGTTTTTGATCTTGAACTCAAGTGTTTTTTTTTTAAGACATTATTCTTTAGAGGACAACAGAGGCACATTACATTATGATATCATTGATGTCACTGACATTAGATATCATTGCTGTCAGAGGGAACAGAGTAATTGAGGAGATTGTGAAATTGATGGCAGTTCTTGTTTGGAAACAGATGGAGGAAGTAGGTGGTGTGCTATATGATTTGAGGACTTGATAAGACCTACTCAGAATCAAGTTCATTTCCCAGTCTAACAGAATTTGGTAAGCAAGCCCAAGTTGATTCTCCTTATTTGTGAGAGACACATTTTTTAAATAAACTCTTATATGTAGGTGAGGAGTTTCTGATGCTACTACGGAGGTTGAAATCTTTAAAGAGTAGCGTTGAAGAGAAGGGTATACTTTGACAAAGATGCATGCTATGGAGGCCAGTGGTCTTCAGGGAATCTTCCAGATCTTTTCCAAAGGAGAAGTTAAGCCCATGTCTTGGCTTTAATGTGGTTCTGTGCCTTCTATTAGGTTACCTGTTTAAACTAATGGCAAAGCTGTCCTAATTGGGGAGCAAGAAGCTCCACACCTTCTCTAAGCAAAGGTACATGTGGCATTCATCTCTAAACCTTGTTGAGTACTGTAGTAAATGAATTAAACACACTGTCATACTAACTCTTCTAGAATCCGCTCATACAATCATTTATTTAGTGACTATGCAAACAACACATAATGTAGAATATATACAAATGACATTAGGTTTTAGATCTCCACCCAAACTTACGTCAATAATTTTGTTGTTTTGTAAATGCCAAGTAAAATGACCAAAGACTAAAGACAGATCAGATATAGCCCAAAACTAAGAGGACAAAAGTCAGACTAGAAGCCTCAGTTTTGAATATGCAACCTGGGTGTGTGCAGTCAAAGCTCTAATAAAGAGTATTCCCAGGACTCTATCTTTCATACTACATGTATGATCAAGTTGAGACTGAAACTATGAGAAAAAGGGTCAAGTCCACTACCAATTCCTCTCATAGTGTAATGTGCCTCTGTTGTCCTCTAAAGAAATAATGGTTTTTGTTTTTTTTTTAAAAAAACTTGAGTTCAAGATCAAAAACACTATGATGACAACTTATACTGAAAAGGATGTGGGATAATGGGAAGCATTGCTGGTGGGGGTGCAAACTGGTACAAAAACTGGAAATCAGTATGACGGTTTCTCAGAAAGTTAGGAAACAATTGAACTCAAGATTCTGCAATATTGCTGTTGGGTATATACCTAAAAGATGCTCTATCATAGCACAAGGACATGTGCTCAACTATGTTCATAGCAGCATTACATTATTTGTAATATCCAGAACCTGGAAACAACCTAGATGCCCCTTAACTGAAGAACGGATAAAGAAAGTGTGGCACATTTACACAATGGAGTATATACAGCAGTAAAAATAATGACATCTTGAAATTTGCAGGCAAATGGATGGATCTAGAAAAAAAACATATTGAGTGAGGTAACCCAGGCTCTGAAAGACAAATATAATATGTATTCACTCATAAGTGGCTTTTAGACATCAAACAAAGGGAAACCATTCTACAGGCCACAACCCCAGAGAAACTAGACAACAAAGAGGACCCTAAGAGAGGCATATATGGATCTAGATAGGAAGGTGAAAAAGACAAGATATCTTGAGTAAATTGGGAGCATGGGGGTCATGTGAGAGAGTAGAAGGAGTGAGGAGAGGAGAAAGGAGAGTGGGAAAAATGTATAGATAAATAAAAACAATGAAAAATACCTCGAGCTCAAACTAGACATGCAATGTGTTGTTTTTTACCCTTTTCTTGTAAAAATTTTGTTATTAAATGTCTGTCATTAAATATATTATTTTTCTGTTATTAAATATAATACTGAAAACACAATTTTGAATGGCCATATATTCATTTTATATTATGCAAATACACCATAATTTACAAGAAACTTCTCTTCTGAATAATATTTAAGGTGATCCCAATATTTTGCTTCTATAATAGTGTAGAAATAGTGGAGGAAATGATCATCCTTATGGATACACCCACATGTATGCCCTATATAGAACAGGCATTACTAAGGTATGCAGAAGTAACCTCAAATGGCATTAGAGACTACTGCATTAATTTAAATCCAATTGGAAGTACATGAATTTGTCTTATCTCTTTGGGTAATAACCTTTTAAAATGTGCTAATATCAAAAGTGAAAAATGACGTATGATTTATTCTTTTTGCATTTTTTCAAATATTAGTAAGGTGGAACTTTTCATTTATTTATTTTTCCTTTGCATGTTGGCCTTGTCATTTGATAGTTATTGTGCTTAAGATAACAACTGGTAAAAAATAAAAAAAAAGATAGCAACTGG